GAGGGTGCTGGTGCTGAGACTGCTGCTGTCTGTCCTGGCGATGGTCCTGCTGCTGGTGCTGCTGGAGGTCCTGCCGCTGGAGGTGCTGTTGACGCTGGTGCTGCCGGAGGTGCTGAGGGTGCTGGTGCTGTCCCTGCTGTGTCTGGAGTCGCCGCGCGGCCTCGGCCGTACTTTGTTCCGCTCATGCAGCAGGTTCTTGGTCTTTCTCCTCCTGTAGAGTGTCCACCGCCTGTCCACTCACCGTCACAGTTAGAGCTCGCCTCCCCACTTCCTGCTCCCTCTCCTTACACTGGTCCTACTGGAGGTCTTGCTGAGCGTCGTGAGCCTGCGTCTCGTCCCGCGTCGCCTGTTCGTGCTGCTCGCGCTAGTGGTCGCGGTTCGCGTCAGCGTCCTCCTCCTGTCCCTGGCACCCACTGGATGTCTCTGCGTCCGTCCACTGCTCCTCTGCGTGCCCCTTTGCCTTCTCCTCCTGCGTCCTCTCTTCCTGTGCTTGCTGACCCAGAGTCGGACTCTCTTCGTACTGCCAGTCCTACTGTCACGCGGCTCCTTGCTACTGTCGTCAGTAACCCCTCGTTTGAGTCCGCTGCTGCGTCTGCGCTTGTTGCTGAGCTCGTCGACTTTGCTGCTCGCTGTCGTCTAGACTACGCTGCCAGTCTTGTTGCTGAGTCTGCGTCTGTCTGTCCTCCGTCCGTCGGGGGTGAGTGTGCTCTTGGCACGGACGTCCTTGAGGACAGGCAGGAGGAGTTCCAGTGTCTGGGTGCTGCTTCACCTCATCTCGCGTCTGTACTGCTTGCCCCTGAGGGAGACCCGGATGCACTAGACATCCCGACTCCGCGCTCTTACGCGGAGGCCGTAGAGGGTCCCTACTCCTCTCAGTGGCAGGCAGCTATGGATGCAGAGATGGCTTCCTGGAAGTCCACAGGCACCTACGTTGACGCGGTTCCCCCTCCTGGGGCGAACATCGTCAGTGGCATGTGGATCTTCAGGGTGAAGCGGCCGCCGGGCTCTCCACCTGTCTTCAAGGCGCGGTACGTCGCTCGTGGCTTCAGTCAGCGGCAGGGAGTTGACTACTTTCAGACCTTCTCTCCCACCCCGAAGATGACCACTCTTCGGGTGCTGCTGCACATAGCCGCTCAGCGCGACTACGAGCTTCACTCTCTTGACTTCAGCACTGCTTTCTTGCAGGGTAGCCTGCACGAGGAGATCTGGCTGCGCCGTCCACCTGGCTTCACTGGGACTTTCCCTCCTGGCACCCAGTGGAGCCTCCGACGACCAGTCTACGGTCTCCGCCAGGCACCGCGTGAGTGGCACGACACACTGAGGACTACGCTTGTGGCTCTTGGGTTTGCTCCCTCTACTGCTGACCCTTCGCTGTTTCTACGCACCGACACTTCTCTGCCGCCGTTCTACATCCTCGTGTACGTCGACGACTTGGTCTTTGCCACAGCGGACACTACTGGACTTGCCTACGTGAAGTCCGAGCTGCTGAAGAGACACACATGCACAGACCTGGGTGAACTGCGCAGCTATCTTGGCTTGCTGATCACTCGGGACAGAGCACGCCGCACCATTACCTTGACTCAGTCACACATGGTGCAGCAGGTCCTTCAGCGCTTCGGCTTCACGTACTCCTCGCCTCAGGCCACTCCTCTGTCTACTCGCCACTCGCTCTCAGCTCTGCCTTCGGATGAGTCCGTAGAGTCGAGTGGCCCGTATCCAGAGCTTGTTGGCTGCCTCATGTACCTGATGACCTGCACACGACCTGACCTAGCATACCCTCTTAGCATTCTTGCACGCTATGTTGCTCCTGGGAGACACCGACCAGAGCACATGGCTGCAGCGAAGAGGGTGTTGCGCTACCTGTGCAGTACGTCGGGCATGGGGCTAGTGCTTGGAGGGCGTAGTCCAGTGGTCCTTACGGGGCACGCGGATGCTTCTTGGGCTGACGACCAGGCTACGTAGCGGTCGTCACAGGGTTACACCTTCAGTCTTGGTTCCGGCTCTGTCTCGTGGCGGGCTACTCGCTCGTCTTCTGTCCTCAGCTCCAGTTGTGAGGCTGAGATCTATGCCGGGGCCATGGCTGCACAGGAGCTTCGCTGGCTCACCTACCTGCTGACTGACCTTGGAGAGCCGCCTCGTTCTCCTCCAGTGCTGTACGTAGACAACAAGGCCATGCTGGCCTTGTGTCGAGAGCAGAGCCTGGAGCACAGAACGAAACACATTGCTTTCCGCTACTTCCTTGCTCGTGAGCTACAGCAGCGTGGACAGTTGCGGCTTGCGTACGTGGCCTCTGAGGCCAACACTGCTGACGTGTTCACCAAGGCACTCGCGCCTTGTGACCATCAGCGCTTCTGCACTCAGCTGGGTCTTGTACCTGTTTTGCCTCACTTGCTCTCCTCTTGACCTTGCTTGTACTGTCACATATATATACCTGCTCTTGCTTGTCTAGCTCTATATATATATATGTGTGTACTCCTGCATGTGAACTGGCCTTGTGGCCTTGTCGTTGTGCTCGGACTGTGTGGTGACTTTGTGATCCACCCTGAGCTTGCTCTGTTTTGCTTGACTGGTCTTGTGACCCCTTGTTCTCCCCCACTTTGCCTATGGGGGTGTGTCAGAACGTTATATAGCTTATGCTGTTGTGTAGGCTATAATGGGGTATCCCATAGGGGGTACAACCCGATTAGGGTTTCCTATATGTACTCACTTCATTCATAGTTCATTCATTCTCGTTCTATTCTTCTCATGTTCACCACTCCATGTGACGGGGCTGCCTGCTGCTCTCTTGCTCCCCACGCGCCCGTGTCTCCCCTCTGCCTGCATGCACCTGCCGTCCACCTGCCAGTGCCTCGGCCATCGTGTGCCGTGGCCCCATGTGCTCCTCCCCCCCATGTGCCGGATGGTCCCTGACGAGAAGCACCGCAACATACTGACGCCGGTTCTGCCCGCAGCCTCATGTCACAGGGCTGCCTGCTGCTCTCTTCTTCCCCACGCACCCGTGTTTCCGCTTTGCCTGCCTGGACTTGCCACCCACGTTCCAGTGGCCCTGTGTGCCCCCGCCGCCCGCGTGCCCGTGGGGTGAGAGCTGCAGGGACGAGGGTTGGCAGCCTCCCTGTCCGAGGCAGCGCTGCTGGACTGGCCTCTGGAGCAACGAGGGGCCAGGGAGGGAGGGGCTCAACTGCAGTCAGATTCTTGCGAGCAGGTGAATGCTTGTCAGGGCCTACAGCATGTGTTGACTCCCCCTCTCTCGTCACACCAGTCCTCGTCACAGCAACTGCCGCAGCCTCTTGTGCTGCCTTGCGTTCTTCAACGGGCCCCACAGTACCTGCAAGGCAAATGTTTCCAAGTCTGAACTTACAGGACTCGAGCTTGCAACCTCCTTTGCCCGTCCCACCACACATACTGCAATACAGACATGTCAGAGCCTCGTCAGGTCCCATCAACCGGACAATGGCTCCTTTGATTGACATGTCCGATTCTTTTGGAGGCAACATGGCTTGTTTGGACGCCCGAGTTGATGTCCACTCGGACTCGCGTGTTCAATCTTTGACAGGTCTGCCTGGGTCCAGACAAACAGCAAGTATGAAGCCTGAAAACGTCTTGGATAGTTTTGAGCGCAGCATCAATGTACCTTGCATGAACTTGAAGAATTCTCTGATATGTTGATTTATACGGGGCTTTACCATCCTCTCAAGTTCCAGTGGATCCTGATACCTGGCGACCATCTGTGATTAATATTGCGGAGCGCATGACTACACTTGATGTTTATGTTACGGTATGAGTGCAATGGAGTGAACAAATGAGACTTGTTAGACAACGAAATCAAATGAGCGCGGTGATGCGCTCGTGAAGGGGTATCCACACGGGCCTAGCATCTAGGTTGGGAAAATGTCTACGAAGTGCCGTACGCGGTATGAAGAACAAGAAAGGAACAAAAAGTATCAAGTCAATCCATGATATAAATATAATATCAAGAATATCGAGTCACGCTATCAAACCTCCTTGGGTACAGATTGGATTCAAGTAGGTGCAATTCCTCTTCACAGTTTGGTCCGATTCACTTTCGTGATTTCGTGCTGCTGAACAATGGATGCGCTGGTCGCTGCTGCTGACTATGGGCTGCCAACAGACCGAGTGGTCATGATTTACAAACCCGCGTGACTTCTAGGGCCGAGAAAAGCAACCCACTCATGTGCTCTGCGGTTACCGGTAGTGCCAGTTTTCCCGAGGACCCCGCACTGACGCGAGTTGGCAGCAACAGTTTGTTCTACATCTCCGAGGTCTTTGGGTGTAGACTGGTCGAAGATTGGTTTGGTGGTCACGGCGACTGTACTCGTCCTTGCATTCCTCTTCCGCTCTGTTTTTACTGTTTGATCATACTCAATTCGGAGGGCGCGCGGGTTTCCGTTGAAGCACTCCTGCCAGGTCAGGAGGAGTTTCTGTTGGGGCTCTCCTGTCAGGAGTTTCGGGTTCTAGGATGAGCTGTCGTCGGATGCTACGCGACGGGTCGCGACAGCGTGAGATTCGCTTCTTGTGCGGACCGCACGTGCGGTCCCCCCTGTACTATCGTGGAATTAGATCCGGGCCCTTGGCACTCGCTTGGTTTCCAGAAGGTTCCTCGCCGTGATGTCTTGACTCATGATTTGCGGGATGCCAGGCCCGATCCGTGCGCCATGTATCGGCTTTTTCGCACGCATTCATCCACATTATGTGGAGTGCCTGGGAACTTCCTTTCTTTTAGGGGATACACACCTGCGCATGGTTGCGGATTCACGGCGATTGGATGCTCCGTTTCTTTGCGACGTCTCCCCGTCTTGAATGATCCCGACTGGCCTTTCCGTCGTAGAATGACCAGACCGTCACGCTTGCTAGTCTTCCTAGCACCAGTCGACTCAGCTCAGCCATTTTGGGTATTCTGAATTGCTAAGTTACTATCATCTTGGGCGGCGGGATTAGGAAGATACCTCGCGTCGACAACAATGCCGAATTCGTCTGAGGCTATGATAGGCGGTTCTACGTCCCCACTGCTCAAGGCGTGGTCCCGAGAGGTGAGCAGAGATAGGTGAGAAGAGACAGGTGAAAGGAGGGGAGCTAGGTGCGTTATAAGGAGGGGGGATTGGAGAGGGACGGGGGATTGTAGGGAAGGGACCCGACGGCTGTGAAAACGGTTCGTGCCAAGCGGTGTTCAATCAGTGTGAGTGGCGCATTTTTCCAAGCTTTTGAGCATGGCAGGCTGCCATGTAAGCCAGAAGAATGTAGCTGCTGCTCACGCCAGCACAGGGGACTCAACACCCCTCGCCCGGTCTCGCCTCAATGCTGTTGCCTCCATGTCATGGCCTCCTCACTTGGTGGGCAGGAGGACGCGGTGCTGCTGCGCCACGCGCTGCAGTGCGGCACGAAGCAGTGGGGGCGAGCCTGGAGAGGGGCGGTCAGCTCAACCGAAGCAACAAGTCGTGTTGTAACCGTTACATTTTCCTCAGAAGGTAAGCCGGAATGCCAGACATCCGCTTTTCAGACAGCAATGCCGAGCCGTTTCTAAACAGACGTCCGTTTCGCCCCCCTCTTTTGGGCTGCAGAAGGTTCCTTCACCGCTTTCAGCAGCACCTCTGGAGGGAGCGTTTTTCATCCGGTGGTGATTTTCCGAGGCATAGTTCAAGGCAGAGTCAGGCTCTGCAGCAGGAGCAGCAGCAGCAGCAGCAGCAGCAGCAGCAGCAGCAGCAGCAGCAGCAGCAGCAGCAGCAGCAGCAGCAGCAGCAGCAGCAGCAGCAGCAGCAGCAGCAGCAGCAGCAGCAGCAGCAGCAGCAGCAGCAGCAGCAGCAGCAGCAGCAGCAGCAGCAGCAGCAGCAGCAGCAGCAGCAGCAGCAGCAGCAGCAGCAGCAGCAGCAGCAGCAGCAGCAGCAGCAGCAGCAGCAGCAGCAGCAGCAGCAGCAGCAGCAGCAGCAGCAGCAGCAGCAGCAGCAGCAGCAGCAGCAGCAGCAGCAGCAGCAGCAGCAGCAGCAGCAGCAGCAGCAGCAGCAGCAGCAGCAGCAGCAGCAGCAGCAGCAGCAGCAGCAGCAGCAGCAGCAGCAGCAGCAGCAGCAGCAGCAGCAGCAGCAGCAGCAGCAGCAGCAGCAGCAGCAGCAGCAGCAGCAGCAGCAGCAGCAGCAGCAGCAGCAGCAGCAGCAGCAGCAGCAGCAGCAGCAGCAGCAGCAGCAGCAGCAGCAGCAGCAGCAGCAGCAGCAGCAGCAGCAGCAGCAGCAGCAGCAGCAGCAGCAGCAGCAGCAGCAGCAGCAGCAGCAGCAGCAGCAGCAGCAGCAGCAGCAGCAGCAGCAAGCAGCAGCAGCAGCAGCAGCAGCAGCAGGCAGCAGCAGGGTGGTATGGTTGCTCACCGATCGCTGTCAGCTGCTCTTACTTTCGGTGGGCTGTCGCTTGACGAGTGCAAGCGCGTGCTCCTCTCACCCAACGACACCCGCCCTCCTGCTGAGCTCGAGGCGACCCTCTCCTCTGACTCTCTCCCTGCTGTCGTTGCTTCTGCCCGTGCTGCTCTTCTTACCCCTGCTGCTGTGTTTGATGCTGCTCCGCTCCCAACTGCGGCTTCTGCATGTGATGCTACCACTGTATCCGCTTCTGCTGCTGCCTTTAATGCTGTTTTTCTCCCCGCTGCTTCTTCTGCGTTCGGTGCTGCTACACTCACTGCCTCTACTGCGTTTGAATCTGTTGCTCTCCCCACTGCTGCTGCTGCTGCGGCTGCTGGGTTCGATCATGCTGCTCCTCCCCCCACTGCTACTTCCGACGGTGCGTGTAAACCTGCTGCTCTCTCCACTGCTGCTGTGGCCAGTGCTGCTGTCTCCGATGCCACGGCTGCTTTCTGCAAGCTCATGAGGGAAACGTCGCTCTGCCCTGGCCCTGCTGAGGTGGTGAGGGAAGAGACGCTGTGCACCGACCCTGCAGCACCAAGCCTGCGGAGCAAGCGACCAAGGGAGGGATTCACTGGCCCTGTCGCAGCTCTACCAGTGCCAGGTTTCACATTGCGTCCACAGTCACTGGACAATGGCTGTGCACAGCAGGGTAAGAGGAGCCGAGTGCAATCAGCACTGTGGCCGCGGGTTGGGTCGGAGAGTGCCCTTCCTGATGGCATGCTGCTGGGATTCAGCAGGGGGGAGGATGGGTACAGGACCGGAGAGCCAGGGTACAGCACCGGAGAGCCGGGGTACATCACCGGAGAGCCAGGGTACAGCGCACCGCATGCCACTGTAGAGCCAATATCGCAACGCTACGCACTGCCAGCGCCTCTGCCCTCGCAAGTCACTGCTCTGGGAGGTTCCCTCCCAGGGGCAGTGAGCAGATGCATGTGCGGGATGGTCCCTGACGAGAAGCACCGCAACATACAGACGCCGGTTCTGCCCGCAGCCTCATGTCACAGGGCTGCCTGCTGCTCCCTTGCTCCCCACACACCCGTGTCTCCCCCCTGTCTGCCTGGGCCTGCCGTCCCCCTGCCAGTGCCTCACCTGTCATGCACCATGGCCCCGTGTGCTCCTCCCCCCCATGTGCCCGTAGGGAGAGGGCTGCAGGGACGAGAGCTGGCAGCCTCGCTGTCCGAGCCAGCGCTGCTGGAGTGGCGTCGGGAGCAAGACAGGACCGGGGAGGGAGGCGATCAACTGCAGAGAGGTTTTTGTGCGCAGCTGAATGTTCGTCGCAGCCTGCAGCTTGCGCTGGCTCCCCCTCTCTCGTCGCACCAGCGCACATCACAGCAACTGCCGGAGAATCTCCCGCTGCCTTTACACCCCGCCCCTGCCCCGCTAGTTGCTGCAAGGCAGATTCTTCTGAATCCAAGCGCACGGGATTCGCGCTTGCAACCCCGCTCGCCTCCTGCCCAACCACCCTTACTGCTAGGCACTACGGTGCTGCATGCACATGTCAGAGCCTCGCCAGATGACATGAGCCGGACAAGTGCTCCTGTGATTGACATTACCGATTCTTCCGGAGCCAGCTCGGCTTGTTTGGATGCCCGAGTTGGTGTCCATTCGGACTCACATGCTCAATCTTCAACTGGTCTGCCTGGGTTCAGACAAAAGGCAAGTTTGAAGCCGGAAAGTGACTTGGGCAATCTTGACCACATTAGTAAATTGCATGAACTTGACATAAACCCGGATATGTTGTTTCATATAGGGATTTTGCCATCCTCACAAGACGGAGTGACGATTCGGGATACAGTTGTGACAACATGTGATAGATTTTGGGGAACATTTGACTATCCGTGATCGAACAGTGAATTTTTGTAAGGAGAGTTGACTGTTTATTGGACTACTGGCTGCATGATTACCCAGTTCAATATCACCTCCCAATTCAGTATCGCCTTGTTTCTCACCATAGTGGGTTCTCTTTTAGGAAGAGCGATTTGTGGAAGACGTCTAGTAGAAACTGAAGAGACAACCCTGCACAGTTTCCTACAGCGAGGAAAAGGCGTCCAGTTGTATCGCTCCTTCAGCCCAGAACGCAGATACCGTCCAGCCCAGAGCAGGGCTGTCGATATCCCTGGGGGCAGAACTTGAGGCCCCCAGCTGCTGAAATTCTGACCCTGATTTTCAGGTAGGTGACCAAATTTTCGCCCTTAACGGTCACGGGTGCAGGCCGAAGTGTAACTTGAAATCCGGGCTCCAATGTGCTGTGTACTTAACTAACCTAAACAGCATTATAGACAAGAAAATCACATACTTTTCACTACTAACCACTCCAGTCAACCTGTATGTCACAACTCCAACTACAACTACAGCTGCACTACCTACAGCATTTCTACTCATCTCCTGACTTCGACACTACACACACACTAGATTGGAAAAAAAATCGAGTGAAACATCCTCCACCTGGTGCCCTATTGTGCAACTTTTATGGAGAGGGGGGGTAGGGGGGTGGAGTGTTCCGCAAGATTTTAGGGGGGTGGTCTGCGGAACCGAAAGTAGAACTTAGATTCAGGGGACGGCCCAGATTGAGCACTTAATGCGTCCGGGGAAGGGCCAAACGATGCCCTTCACTGGCACGGGTGCCAGCAGAATCAAACCCTTAAAATGGTCGAGCTGCGCCGAACATAACCCGGAATGTTCAGGGCATTGAGAGCATTTCGGAACTTCGTTATTGACCGGATATTTTATCGGCGTTCATCCCTACGTACGGCGCATGGCTGCGGTCTTTCACGGCGTGCTCTGAGACGTTCCCCTGGAATCTTTTACTACCGAGTAAACTTCTGTATATTTGGGAGACGCTCCCCGTGTTGCTAGTAGTGCTGCTATTAGATCCGTCGACTCTCAGCCATTCATCTGTATTCGTGTTGCGAATCTATCACTACCTTGCGGTGAAGGGATGTCACTGAAGCCACAGGCGGTGGAAACGATGCTGCATTCCTCCGAAGCCATAGGCGGTTCTGCGTCCCCATCGCTTAACGCGTGGTCCCGAGAGGTGAGTGGTACATTTTCAGAGGCTTCCTTAGGGGAATCCAGGGATGCGAAAAGATTTCGTGTGCTCCGCGGTTATTTATCAAAGTGAGTTCGCCAATTCTTTCAAGCTTTCTAGCATGCTCTCGCCGGCACAAGGGACTCAACGCCCCTGGCCCGGTTTCTCAAATTGAGACCCACCAGGCAGTCTGAACATGCCTGGTGGGTTTGGTGTGGGATATTACTAGGTATCCTCCATCGGGGTGAGTTTGACCCTATTCCTTACAATATCGGGGATGAAGCAAGCTTGAGTCAAGCGAATTTTCTCAGTGCTGTTGCCTCCATGCGCACTCTCGTTGCCCCTCGATCCACTCATTCCCTACCCCACTCTCACGGCAGGAGGACGCGGTGCTGCTGCGTCACGCGCTGCAGTGCGGCACGAAGCAGTGGGGCGAGCTGGAGAGGAGCGGTCAGCTCAAGAGGAGCAACAAGTCGTGCTGTAACCGTTACATCTTCCTCCGAAGGTAACCCGGCATGACACGTACATCAGGTGAAAGAGCTGCAGCCGTTTGACAATTCTAAGCCGTTTGACGATTCTAGGCCGTTTGACAATTCTAAGCCATTTGACATTTCTTAGCCGTTTGAAGATTCTAAGCCGTTTGACAATTCTTAGCCGTCTCACAGTTCTTAGCCGTTTGACGATTCTAGGCCGTTTGACAATACTTAGCCGTTTCACAGTTCTTAGCCGTTTGACAATTCTTAGCCATTTGACAAATCTAAGCCGTTTGTCAATTCTTAGCCGTTTGACAATTCTTAGCCATTTGGCAAGGCTCTGCCGTTTTTCTACATTTGTTTGTTGTGCCCCATTGTCCCACGCGCAGAAAGTTCCTTCACCGCTTTCAGCACCAGTTTTGGAGTGAATGCTTCCCACGTGGCGCCGCACCCCCGAGTCACATTTCAGTGCGGAGCCTGGCACTACAGCAGCAACAGCAGCAGGGTGGTGTGGGGTCACATCGATTGTGGACAGCTGTTTTGAATTTTGGAGGGCTGTCGCTTGACGAGTGCAAGCGCGTGTTCCTCTCACCCAATGACAGCCACTCACCTGCCGAGCCTGTGACGACCCTTGGTGCTGTTGCTGCTAGCCCTCCTGCTTCCCTGCCCTCTGCTGCTGCTGCTGCTGCTGCGAATGATTATGCTACTCTCCCTAGAGCTGCTTCTGGGTTTGATGTTGCTTCAATCCCCTTTGTTGCTGCTCTGTACGATGCCGCTACTCTCCCCGTTGCTGCTACTCTCAACACTGTTGCTGCTACGTCAGATGCCAACACCCTGCCCACTGCCACTGCTGATGTTGCATGTGAACCTGCTCTTGCTGCCGTGGATGTTGCGTGTAATCTTGCTGCTCTCTCAACTGCTGCCGTGGCCAGTGCTGCTGTCTCTGATGCCACGGCTGCTTTCTGCAAGCTCATGAGGGAAACGTCGCTCTGCACCAACCCTGCTGAGGTGGTGCGGGAAGAGCCGCTGTGCACCGACCCTGCTGAGGTGGTGCGGGAAGAGCCGCTGTGCACCGACCCTGCTGAGGTGGTGAGGGAAGAGACGCTGTGCACGCTCTGCACCAACCCTGCTGAGGTGGTGAGGGGAGCACGCTGCCGTGGCCGTGCCAATGTGATGAGGGGAGTGTTGTGCTGCTCCGACCCTGCAGCACCCAGCCTGCCAAACAAGCGACCAAGGGACGGCTTCACTGGCCCTGTTGCAGCTCCACCAGTGCCAGGCAGCACAATTCAGCGGCCACAGTCGCTGGAGAGTGGCTGTGCACGGCAGGGGAAGAGGAGCCGCGTGCATCCAGCACTGTGGCCTCGTGTTGGGTCGGAGAGTGCCCTTCCAGACGACGTGCTGCTGGGGGTCAGCACCGGGGAGGCTGGGTACAGCACGCCGTGTGCCACATGCCCTGTGCCTCTGACCTCTCAAGTCGCTGTTCTGACTGGTTCATTTCCAGAGTTGATGAGCAGCGAGGTTCATGACTCAAAGTGCGCTGATGGAAAGACTCTGCTCCAGCCCAGAGCCTCATGCCACAGGGCTGCCTGCTGTCCTCTTGCTTCCCACGCACCCGTGTCTCCCCTCTGCCTGTTTGCACCTGCCGTCCTGTCATGTGTCGTGGCCCCATGTGCTCCTGCCGCCCACGTGCCTGTGGGGAGGGGGCTGCAGGGACGAGGGCTGGCAGCCTCCCTGTCCGAGCCAGCGCTGCTGGAGTGGTGTCTAAATTCGAACCCCCGGGACTCTCCCTTGCCGCCTGCCCCACCAAACGTACTGCAGCACTCTACGGTGCGTCGGTGCCGCAGGCACATGTCAGAGCCTCGGCAGGTGTCATGAACCGCACAATTGCTCCTCTCGGCGACTTGACTGATTTCTCCAGAGCCAACGTGGGTGCTTTGGCCACCACAGCTGATGATCATTTGGATTCGCGTTTTTAAATTCCAAAAACATTTCTGCTTGGGTTCAGAGCAGCAGATGGTCTGGAGCAGGAAACCGACTTGGGCAATCTTGCGCAGGGCAGCAATGTAATACATGAAGTTCCCCACGCTCACATATACCTCCCCCAATGTTAAGGTCTGGCCAACTGCTGGATGTGTCACTTGATTTAGCGAGTGCCATACTTTTATTGCGGTAAAAAGGTGTATGATGCGATATCTATACACATTTGATGCATTATCGTATCTGCTTGTGTCACTTGCGTGTGCAACTCTACCCAATACCCACACCTGCTTGATGCTCTTCTGGATCTCAAATCTGAAGTTTGGAGTGTCGAAAAAATTATGAAGCCATAGAGCAACGAGGCGCTTCGAAGGCCTTGAGGACCTTACAACCTGACTTAGCATAATGTTTCCGTGTTCTAATTCGCTGAGTTTCCGCTGTTCCCCTTCACCGCAATTCACGGCATCGAAGCTCACTGGATCTGCAGCGATGGAGCTCGGTACTGTGGCGACACGGCAACAACGGCTCTTGCGGCCTCCTCGCTGAAGCCGATATGCGACAAATCATCACAATGCCGTGCAGGCACTAACAGCAGCCTCGCCTCACACGGTGGAGTCTGCTGGATTACGGGCCGACGAAAAGCAGTGTGGTTACCACTATCGGCTGTAACACGGTCGCCGTCGCCGTCACCCGGTCTTATTGTCGTCGAAAGCAGGTCTGTGTCAGACCGATCCTGTTTGTTTGTGTCAGTGAACGATCTCCAGTAGTTTTGTATTCGTCTTTGTTCTTTTCTTAGGGTCGTGGGACTTTCAAGCCCACCTCGTTTTGTTTGCATCAGTTTCCAGTTACACGACCCCAGCCAATCGTCCCCTTTCCCTCGCCCACCTGCCTTGCTCTGTCATCTAGCTTCATCCCTCCTTTCCTCCCTTCCCTCGCTCCTCCGTTTCCCCCCCGCTGTATCCCCCTTCATGTGTTTCCCCATTCCGTTTGTCCCGTCGTCCTTCCGCCATGTTGTCAGGCCGGAGCATGGCAGCATGGCGGAGCGGAGGGAGCCACACGGCGCAGCTGCAGCGGGTGCTGGGGCGGGTGAGTGGGAGCAGGCCCGGGGAGAAGCGGAAAGAGAAGGGGGAGATGCGCGGGTTAGGCGAGGGAGCTGCGGGGGCGAGTAGGGAAGCTGAGAGCAGCAGGGGCTGGGAACACAGTGTGATTGAAAGGGGAGAGGTGGGCAACGGGGAATAGAGAAGAGAGGCAAGAGCAGCGGTTACAAAGGGGGGGCGGGGGGCTCAGCGGGGACATGTGGGCAAGCTGAGAGCAGCGGGAAGGAGACACGTTGGAACCAGAAGCAGTTGACAAGGTGAGGGTGGGTGGCATGGGGTGGGAAGGGCTAGGGTAAAAATGGAGTGTGGTAGGGCAGGATAGGGTGGAAGATTGAGTGGAATGGGTTGGCTGGGATTGGGTTGGGATGGGAAGGCCAGGGCAGGTCTATGGGGTATTGGGCGTATAGTCTCCTTGTTTCTCAGTCATTGCCCTGAATCGGGTTTCAGGGAAAGGAGCAGAGCAGTCCATTCGACCATTATAGATAAGGTGAGTGGGCAGTCAACTTACCATATGAAATGTAGGTTCCGTATCATGCACGCTTGTGTGAAGTATATTTGCGGCCTGCGCAGCGTTGTGTTCTGTAGTGAAACCGTTATGAAATGTGTTGACTGATATGCTTGTGTGGGCAATTGTTGGGGGAGAAGGGCCTGTATGGAGTAAATGTTTACAATGGAATTGGGGACCATTGTCAGGTTTTTCACAACTTGACATTGTAGGTGTAAATAGAACAGAAAGAATATTCTGTAACCAATCCACGCGTGTACACTCACACGTTTGGGCTTTTGTTACGGGTGCAATGAATCGAAGTAGCGAGAATTGCACTAAGGTGTCAAACGAGTACAAAATGTGAGCGAAGGCCTGAGCGAACATTTATACGCGAAACATGCAAACGGTAACGCGGTGCGTGCGAGCTAGCTATTGCTACGTCGGAGCGAGGCTTGGGCTAGTCCCGAAGCGTAGGCCGACACGGCCATGCCAGCAGTGCGAGGTTTGGTGAAAACAGTGTGCGCGAGGTCGGCGAAGCCCCGTAAGCAGTAACGGGCGAACAACGGCTGTTGCTGTACGCGATGTAGTTGGGCTCTGTAAAGAATGCCGAGAAAATTCCTTACACTACCCCCCCCCTCAAGAAGCCCTCTCCGCTACGCGAGTGCGTGTATATCGCGGAATCCCCGGCTCCTCAGGTACACTTGCAGGGTAGGGTGGTTTTCGATGTTGGCCAGGGGCACCCACCTGTCCTCAGTTGGCGTGCGATCCTTCCAGCGGACGAGGAATTCAATCCTCTTGAGTCCCGTGGGGTGTCGAATCCGATGGCTCAGGATTTTTTCGGGCTCGATGATCGGCTCCGATGCAGGGCGAGTTATGGATGGCGGGCGGTGGCGAGGCAGTTGGCTTGTGGTTGGGATGTAGGGGCGAAGCAGGCTGACGTGGAACGAAGGGCTGATGTACCAGTCGGTCGGTAACAGTAGGTGCGCGGTTACTGGCGTGATCATGTGGCTGATTTAGAATGGGCCACAGTAGCGCGGTCGAAGTTTTGGTACGTCGGGCAGTCGCAGATTTTGCGTGTCGAGCACTACGTAATCCCCTGACTGGTATGTGACTGGGCGGCGGTGGCGGTCAGCGTTGCGCTTAGCGATGGCGTTTGCTGTCAGATGATTATATTACTGATGCATATATTTAGGCTGTAGTGGGGTAGCCCATAGGGGGTACAACCCAATTAGGGTTGGTACTTGTACTTGTTTCATTTCATAGTGCACCCATTCCTCCAGTGCTGTACGTCGACAACAAGGCAACCATTGCCTTGTGTGAGGAGCACAGACTGGAGCACAGGACGAAGCACATTGCTCTACGCTACTTCCTTGCTCGAGAGCTGCAGCAGCTGTCAAAATGAGGAATGAATAGTTCCATTGATGTTGGTAAGGGTACATATAACAAACCCTAACTTCTGTACCCCCTAAGACAAACCTCACTACAGGCTACAACATTTGACACACCCCCATAGCTAAGTGAGGGGTGTCTAGCAAAATAAAAAAGAGTACGATTACAAGACCAGTCCAAAAGAAAACAAAGCTCAGGGTGGATCACAACGTCACCACACACTCTGAGCACAAGCAACAGTGGCCATAAGGTCAGTCCAAGAGATCACAAGTATATATAGCAAGTGTACAGACGAAGCAGGCAATAAACTCAAGTCTACACATGACTAGAACCTGAGTCAACAAGGCCTAACTGCACACAACACCTCTGGTGGTCACAAGGCGAAAGCGCCTTGGTGAAGATGTCTGCAGTGTTGGCCTCGGACTCCACGAACTCGAAGCGAGCCTGTCCACGTCTCTGCAACTCTCGCAGAAGAAAGTACCTGACGTGAATGTGCTTCACTCTGCTCTCCAGTCGCGGCTCACGACAGAGGAGGATCGACGCATTGTTGTTAGTAAACAAGGTCGGTGCAGAGCTCGGCCGCTCACCAAGGTCGGCGAGCAAGAAGGTCAACCACCGCAACTCCTGTGCCGCCATGGCACCAGCGTAAATCTCAGCCTCAGCTGTAGAGGTCGAGACAGAAGAGGAGCGCGTGGAACGCCACGAAACAGCTCCAGAACCCAGCCTGAAACAGTACTCCTGAGTAGACCTGTGAGTCTCAGCGTCGTCAGCGTAAGAGGAGTCACAGTGACCAGTGAGTACGACAGACTGCTGCCCTCCAAGAACTAGCCCCACGCCTGATGTAGTCGCTAGGTACTTCGCCACCCTCACAGCTGCCGTCCAGTGAACAGGACGGTGTCTCCCTGGCGCAACAAAGCGCGAAAGGATGCTGAGAGGGAAGGCGAGGTCCGGGCGAGTACAAGTCATCAGGTACATGAGGCAACCCACAAGCTCTGCGTAGGGACCACTAGGCTCAAACGGCTCGTCAGGAAAGGGACCAGTGAGTCTGTGGTCAACAGCGAAAGGTGTGCGCTGTACGGTGGAGTGCTGAAGCCCGAACCGCTGAAGGACCTGCTGCACCATGTGTGACTGTGAGAGTGTAATGGTGCGAGCGGCTCTGTCCCTGGTGATCTGCAGGCCAAGGTAGTGGCGCAGCTCACCAAGATCAGTGCACGTGTGTCTCTTCTGCAGTTCGGACTTCACGTCTGCCAAAACAACCCTGTCCGGAGTGGCGAAAACGAGGTCGTCGACGTAGACCAGGACAAAGAACGGTGTGGAGCCACGACGAACGAACAGCGACGGGTCGGCAGAGGACGGCTGGAACCCAAGGTCAGAGAGGGTAGAACGCAGAGTGTCGTGCCACTCACGAGGGGCCTGGCGAAGACCGTAAACAGGTCGCCTCAGCCTCCACTGGGTCCCAGGAGGGAAAGTGCCAGTGAAGGCCGAGGGACGACGTAACCAGACCTCCTCGTGTAGGCTGCCCTGAAGGAAAGCAGTGGAGAAGTCGAGAGAGTGTAACTCGTAGTCTCTCTGTGCTGCTACGTGTAGTAACACCCGAAGAGTGGTCATCTTCGGGGTAGGTGCGAAGGTCTGAAAGAAGTCAACTCCCTCGCGCTGACTGAAACCTCTAGCCACGTAGCGCGCATTGAAGACCGGGGGAGATCCCGGTGGCCGCTTCACCCTGTAGATCCACATGCCGTCGACTACGTTCGCCCCAGGGGGGGGAACCTCATCGACGTAGGTGCCTGTGGATCTGTAGGAGGCCATCTCTGCGTCCATGGCAGCTCTCCACTGAGAGGCCCAAGGCTCTGACACTGCCTCAGCGTAAGTGCGAGGAGTCGGAATGTCAAGGGCGTCGGGGTCACCCTCAGGGGCGAGGAGCATGGCACAGAGATGAGGGGAAGCGGCCGCCAGGAACTCTAGCTCAAACTGCCTGTCCTCTAGGGCGTCACAGCCAAGGGCAGACACACCCCCGACGGCCAGAGGACTGGTAGGAGGAGCAGCCACAAGCATGGTGGCGTAGTCAAGGCGACGGGTAGAGGCAAAGTCAGTAACTGCGGCAGTAAGAGCGGACACAGAAGACACAGAGGCACGAGGGTGAGTAACAAGAGAGGCGAGAACACGAGAGAGAACAGGACGGTACGTGCGGTAGTAGTCAGTGACGGGAGCAGGGAGCGACACGGTGAGGGCCGACTCAGGAGGAGACGGAAGCACAGACTGAGACGGACGAGGTGGACTAGAACAAAGTAAGGCAGTACGAAGGTCAGTGAAGGGAACAGGAGACGAGGGACGAGCACGAGGGGAGCGACGAGTAGCCCAAGAACGAGACGGAGGAGGAGAGGACAAAGGCGGAGAACTGGAGAAAACAGCGGGGGAGGAGTCAGGCGGAGGAAACGTGGGACCGTAGACAGGAGGAGAGGCGTAGGAGGGAGGAGAAGGGGAGGGGAGACCAAGGGCCCGAAGACCCAAGACAGGAGGAGGAAGTGGCTGCTGCTGCTGCTGGTGCTGCGACTGCTGCTGCTGCGGACGCGGCTGCTGCTGGGACTGCTGCTCCTGCGGGTCCAGCTGCTGCTGCTGCTCCGCCAGCCGGTGTAACTCCCTCTCCTCTCTCTCCAACGCCAGCTGCTCGTCACGGGCACGGCGAACACGAGCCTGGTGCCTAGTCAGGTAGGGGTGGGGGGGCGGAGTAGTGTCCGAAGCAGCGGCAGCTCCAGAGTCAACCCCCGAAGAACCAGGCGCACCACCCCCAGAGGCAGCACCCCCAGTGTCCGCGCTGCCAGCACCAGCTCCCGGACGACAAGAGTCCTCTGCACCCACCGGGTCAGCTCCAACTCCAGAACCAGAAACTCCAGCTCCAACTCCAGCACCCCCAGAACCAGAAACTCCAGTGCCTCCTCCAGCTCCACCTCCTGCTCCAACACCAGCTCCACCTACAGCTCCAACACTTGCTCCAACACCAGCTCCAACTCCAGCACCCCCAGAACCAGAAACCGGTACAGGAACAGGCGCAGCACCAACCTCTCGAGAGCTAGCACCAGCGGCACGCTGCGAGGAGGACTGTGGGGAGGGAGGCTGTACCGGAGGGGCTACCGAAGGAGGAGGGGTAGCCTGGGACACACCTGACGGGGCTGGACCAGGGGGGGGAGGCTGTACCGAGGGAGCAGGAGGGGGAGCGGCAGTCAGGAAGAGGGGGGGAGGAGGAACCGGGAGACCTCGACTGGGGTACC